AAAAATTCGTAGTTCGGTTCTAGAAGATCCCGGAGAGCGGAAATTGTGGGAAACGATAAGCAGTCAGTTGGCAGATGAAATGAGGGAGTCACACCCGTGATGGGCGAGGCGTGCTATAGGTGGGCGGTGCTCGCTACAGAACTTTCAAAAATTCGTAATTCGGTTCCAGAAGATCCGGAGAGCGGAAATTGTGGGAAACGATAGGCAAACAGTTGGCGGACGGAATGAATGAAGCACACCCACGATGGGCAGGGCGTGCGCCGAAGTGAACGGTGCCGGGGATAAAAACCCTCAAAATACATCCGAAAAACTCCAGGAAATGGGAGTAAGTGAAAATGAGCAATGGTTGGGCAGATGATGTTAGTAAGGGATAACCGTAGGGAGTATACCAAGTGGTTGGTGCCGTCGGCAATAATTCATAATTCGGGATTCGCCATAGATAGCACAGCTGTGCATAGAATAAGAGCAGTGAACGTTTGCCATACGTGAATGGGCAGTCAAAACAAGGATCGTAAGATGGTATGTTTATTATTGTGTTTATTTACATTAATTATTTACTCGCACTAGCATTGCTAGAGCACAAATGCACTGCCTGCTTCGTCCGTTCATCGTTTTGACCCACTAGAACATCGCCAATATCGAGCAGACCGAACAGCATTACTATACAGTAGTTTCAACAGCTGTTTACCATCTGGGGGTACTTGATGATCTCGTATCCACTACTACCTATAAAACGTCAAACGTCTGTCCTGTCTGCTTTGTCGTGTTTTGTCTTCTGTCTGTCTCGCGGAAATTCGAGAATCACCTGAAGAGCCCAGCTTAGAAAGGACGGGTCAAGGGTGGTTGGTGTAGGAGGATCGGCCCTCCTCTCATGGAAAACTTCTCGCCGGGACCCACTTCACACCCGGAAGGAGGATCGGCCGGCGAAGCCGGCCGATCCGACTGGCCCTCCCTCTCATGGAAAACTTCTCGCCGGGACCCTCACTTCACCCCGGCCAGGAGGATCGCCCGGCGAAGGGCGCCATGCCGACTGCCCTGCCTGTCATGAACTTCTCGGACGGGACCGCCCACTTCAGCACCGGAAGGAGGAATCGGCCGGCGAAGCGCCCGGCGCCACGACGCCGTGGCCTGGGAGCCCTCTCGAGGAAACTTCTCGCGGGACCTGGCGGCCACCTTCCACACCCGAAGGAGTGATCGGCACGGCCCTTCCCTGCGGTCATGGAAAACTTCTCGCCGGGACCCACTTCACACCCGGAAGGAGGATCGGCCGGCGAAGCCGGCCGATCCGACTGGCCCTCCCTCTCATGGAAAACTTCTCGCCGGGACCCACTTCACACCCGGAAGGAGGATCGGCCGGGGCGAAGCCGGCGATCGACTGTTGTTATAACGAATGCCATCGGTCTTTCCCAACACTATGTAGGCCATGTCGGTTTCAGATATGTCTGAGAAGAAGACAAACAGCTGTGAACACGACCCAGAGGCACAGTGGACGCCAGGGACACGACAACACGCAGTCACTTGAAGTTGTCGAAGATGACGTCCCTTACAGCAACAATCTACTCGAAGAGGAAGAGTACGATTGCTTTTTATCGCACCGTAGCGTCGCCAACGCAGCTTGATGCCTCCACTCGTCTAGACGATACTAATGAGCGCGCTTTTTTCTCTGAGCCTCCTTCTGGAGGCCAGGCACCAGGCGGGAGAGCGCTGCTGGGAGGCACGCAGAGTGACTCATCAATTAAAGGAGCTTAAAGGAGCGGTCGACCCGCCTCGAGCAAGAGTAGGGTAATACTGAGAAGAACGGTGAGGAATGAGCTACTTAAGTAGAAAATGGAGATAACGCTAGTTATTAGCATAGTACATTGAGAAAAGTGTGTACTTGATCAAAATGAAGTAGGAAAATCAGCACTTATTCAAAACACTTCAAGCTTAGAGTGAGTTCTTTATGGTTCCTATACCCAACACAGTGTAAACAGTCCGCCTAGGGATAGTAATGGGAACTGACAAAGGAAAAAGTGAATCCAAAAATCATGTGAACTCGAGGGGCGAAGAATGTCCAACGAATTCGCGAAGAACTCGGCAATAGAAAGCACCTCAGTTTTTTGTGTTTGAATTCGGGTGTTCATGGACACGTTTTTGTTCATATTGTTTTTGTTCGGCCTATGTGAACACAAGGAAATAAACATTGTACATTGGGAATGCACCTAGAAACCGAGCCTAGGGGATTCGAACCATAATCCTGCTTTCATCCTTTCTTTAACCTTTACAGAGGCCACTCGTGATTCACTAGTACCACCATTCCCACTAGTAAGTCACTATTAGTAATTAGTAATCCTAAAAATGAACCCGCTATCACCGTCTAACCGATCCAAGTGAGAGAGAGGAGAGAGTACCGACGGCTAGGGGAAATTTGCTGTCTCCCCACATAAAAAGGATTAGATGTCACACAATCCCCTCCACTCTGCAGTCACCACCCTAACAAAGGCATCCTAGATAGCCAGGTGTTTCGCTTCTTTCCAGCGATTTAGTCATGTTTCAGAGAAATACTAACGCACGAAATTTACGAATGACACTTTTTCTTCAAGAAACGACCATCATTCCCAGAACCCCAAATGAAACGGCACGAAAAAATTGATAGACAATGTAATTCCCCCAAAAGAGCTTTATCTACAGTATCTCACAAAGTTTCACTTCAGAACATCCTTAAAACGCTGGAAAAAGGATTTTGCAACTTGAGCGCACTACTCAAAACCCTGTTGCATATGTGACCCGGTTGAGAGGAAAATAAAGGAGGCGTTGGAAATTCGAAGAAGGAACCCACCGATCAACAACAGGGAGGAGTTAAGAAGGACAATGGAGCTCATTGCTGCACCATGATGTGACATCACTGGTGATACGTGACATATGACAAATAGCAGTGTATCACCATCTTGCCACTGCTTCGCCTTTCTAGCTGTCTCATTTCTATAGGAAAGGACAGCTGGGGAGGTAGGTCAATGTCGCGTACTCCTTGTTCTCGCCCATCATTCAACCATCTTGCAGCAAACTCCCGACCCACTCCATCCCGGACCCACTCCAACCCAGGCCCTACCCCTGTAGGAAGTCGGTCAGTTGTTAATTAATTGATTGCTTTCCCTCTTCGAATATCTTGCGATGTATGTGTAATAGTAGGATTGTTGGTGTAGGCTTTGTACATATATATTTGTAGCCTGAAGAAGGGCTTAAGGCCCGAAACGTCGCCGAGAAATAAAAGACTTAGAAGAGTTTCATTCCATCAACCCAGAAGAAGATCTCAACAACGTGAAAACAAGCGTTTTCCCGTCAAACGAATGTGATATTCGTGTTCAGGGGTCAAATTACCCTCAGGAATCAGTTTCTAGGCCGAAACTTCGAATCGGATGGGTAATAAAGTTCAGAGGGCAGATACGTTGACCAAATCCATACTCGACTGAGTGTATAATGCTTGATCTCCTTAACCTACTTGCTCTGCTGTGGGTTCGTAAATCGAATTTTCGAAAACTTGAGTAAAAGCTTTCCATAGTAGACAAAGCAAGAACTTTCGCGCCAACCGTATGCAATCCCACAAGCAGTTGCCTTTGAAGCGAGACCGTTACCACTGGGCCACGGTGACACTGCCTAGCAACCGATTAGCACCTCTTACGAGTCAAAACTGAGTTTTCGCAAACTTTGACCGCCCAGAACTCGTCTGGGAGGTCCCCGTAGCACTTTTAATCTGCATATTCGTAATCAGCATTCGAGACTCTATCGATGTACCTAGGTCTCCATTCGAAGTTCCATGGGAAGTTGAAACCATTCCCTTGTAAGTGTCAATATCGTCACTCGTCAGTCAACTACTCAATGCTCGTACGGAGGGGTATACTATTCCAATAATACAATAGTCCCCAATATCAATACACATTATCTTCTTCGATACTTCTAGAAGTGCTAGAGAATCACGTAACACTGAACCCCCTTCTTCACCGCGAGTCCAGATTAGTCGAAGCTGTATAGGAAAACGGGTCTAGGAGCTATAGATTAAAAGCGACAAACTTCCAAAAAAAATTCCGAAACATTTCCCATCATTCGATATGTGCTTGTGTGCCTTCCGAGTTTTCAGGTGGCACAATTTACTTTGACGGCCCGATGTTTCAAGGTAGTCGTCTTCTTCAGAGGCCTAGAAGTGTTCCGAGTTGAAGAGATGTGCACTACCCAGCCATGCACCACATGAGCTGCGGTGAAAATAAATTGGTTCACCTAAAAGCCTTAAAGGCACAGTTCACCGCAAATTGCGGGAAACGGAACTCAAATAGGCACAAAAAAGTGCTAAGTATCTGATTAGCGGAGAAAAGCAGCAGAAAAAGCAGTCCGAAATGTTATAGAGAAAGATAACATAGTGGCTACTAGCTAGTAGCTAGCAGCCGGTGAGGGTCGGCATGGGCCTAAGGGGTGTCCATGGGCCTAATTAGTCAGCTTCTAGCGGAGTTCTTGCTGTTTTTCACATTTTGAAAGTAGCGCAGCCTCAAAAATCTCCTTCCGGATCGTCCGACACATTTGAGAGGTCGTAGCCTTATTTTATCGCGGAATGTGCCTTTAAAAGACACGCTTACACACATACTGATTATACGAAAAACTAAATGAACAAACAGCAATATCACGCGCACAGGCCGAAGGAGCTGGAAAATCTTAAAAGTAATGTGGTTCAGCTAATTTTAATAACCAGGTATTTGTATTGCTGTAACTATTGAAACTTTTTTACTTGAAGGAATTTTCTTCAAATATATATAACAATCATCTGTTATACCTTGTATCTTGCTACCTTGTGCGATGTAGATGTACTTGCGCATTCACACACGCGTATGTCCTTCGTGTGTAGAGATAAGAACTTACCAGTGGTCATAACGTAACTCACCAAATTATGACCGTACTTTTTTTGAGCGTAGGTAATGACATAAGATTTCTGAGGTCTGCTCACAGGCTTTATCAAGGTCTACCCTCAGAGCTCTTCAAATGGGTTCATTTCTCTTGAAGAACGCAACTTGGTGTTCCAAAGCATAGTTAATATGAGACCACAAAAATACCTGAGCTATGACAGCGCAGGCTAGTGCCCACACGGTGATGACTGCGCCCCGATCGAGCTCTTGAACGACAACATGAGCAAATTTTTTGATTTGTTCACGTTGCGCTTCGGACAAGACGTACTGCGAGTCCGGCTGAAATAATTTGATGAAAGTAAAATACTGAAAATGATCTGCACCTGTGTGCTATCCGATGAAGAAAACGCACCATGGAAAGGATGTGGGACCGTTGTAGTGATGTTTCAAAGTAGTTACGGACAGATATTGGCTCGCCAAATGTCATAAAACATCTCCCAAATCGCTTATTCAGAAAATCGCGAGCTTTCAGAAGACCTGAAGATCGTGGGCAATTACGGTACATTGAACTATCATGCTATATATAAAACTTTAATCGCTGCAGATGATGAGGCATGTGTGGAGAGGGAGTGGGGTTTCCCGCGGCGCCAGCTTGTTCTCCACCAACTGAGGCAATTAGGCGACAATGACTGGTGGGAAACGGGTTGGCGCTGCGACAAAAACAGTCTCCCGACACGCCCCAGCATCCGCAGACTGTAGCTCGCCAAGTATGTGCGTGCGTGTGTGCGTCTGCCAGTGTGTCACGTATAAAGTGAAGGCTAAACTTTGACTGGTTCTACCTTTTGTTACGAAACGTCATCCCTACCGCTCTACCTTTTTTTGGACTGCCAATCAAGTTATTGCGACTGGGTGCTCTAACCATTTCTTAAGCTTGGCATTTAGAGTTGTTTTTTTTACACACGAATCAGTTTATTGTAATCACAGTGAATGTCAACTCACCTGAAGTACTCTCCTTCGGTTTTGGAAATCCCAGCAGTTCATATGAATACAGCATCTCTTCTAATAATTTATCATAATTGGTCGTTACCGGAATTACCACCTGAAACCAGAAAAGATTGCGCAGGTCATCAGCTCTTGTATTCGCCTAGTGTTTATTGGAACCCTTGCAAGTATTCCATTTCAGAAGAAAAAAGTTGCAAAGAAAATGTTCGATGTCCAAACGGTTCATATTAGAGGCATAGCCGTCACAGAAGGCGAAAATCAGCGATTTCTAAAGAAAGATTAATAGAGCTTTACTCACTAGATCAAACACTTTGGCTCTGAAATACGGCTCGAGAACCATTTGCAGGAAGACCGTATTTGGGATGAAGGCTTTTGCCCACGCGACTTCGTGTGCCTTCTACAAAGAACTCTACCGGTCGATCACCATGAATCAAGTGAGTTTGCACATATTCAGAAAGAATGGCCCAATATAAATGGTCCTGTAAAACAAAGGTAAGGGTTATGCTCATGCAAGGATTAATCCAATGTAGAAGTATAAGGTCACCTAATAGAAAAGAAGAACGTAGAAGTTTTTATTCAGGTAAAATGAAAAGGAAAACATGAGAAAGTTGTAAAACATATGAAAGTCTAGCAGAATCTATCGTCAGGCAAAGCCAGCGATCATTGGCCATCACAGATAGTGGATTAAGGGTTTGCATATAGACGACAAGGTGCTGAGTAACTCGATAGCAAAAAAAGCAGAAAAAACATGCCAACTGCTCCAGATAGAACTCCAATTCAATCCCAGTTTGTACGGGCCCAATTGTTCCATCTCCAACACTCTGCACACCCGATAAGAAGTATGCCACGTACAAGTGACGATTTTCATGCTTTTTCGGAGACGGAGACGCCTCTCAGTAAAAAAAGGCGTTTTGAAGGCGGAGTCTGGAGGCGGAGTCACTGGGAAGAAGGAGGCGTCACTGAACCTATATGCGCTACAGCCCCCCTCCCTTACAATTTTTTGCCGCGAAACCAGGTACAAGCTTGTTCGTGGCGGACCAGACCACCTTCCCGACGCCATATTTTAACTTCTATAGCTGACGCGGACCGTGCCTCTAATGACCTGAGTCCAAGAAGCGTCTGGAGACAGAGCACCTTTGCTTTTTCAGCAAAAGTCGAAAAATATCTGAGATCTTTTTGCAGAATACGGCTGATTACTTTATTTTTATGGCCTGTCGTTTTAACGATGGCCCCTTTTAGTTTGTGGTACTATCAGTTTGTTTATTTGGCCGTCGAGGAACAGACAGCGGATTTCTTATATGGACTTTCGCCTCCGAATTTGAGACAACTGTCATCTTGTGCAGAGTTGAACAGAGACATTACCACAATTGTTTCAAAATGAAAATACCTCATCAAAAGTGCAGCCTCCGCCACGTTTAGTAGAAGTATGCAGCCACGCTTAGTACACCTAGCCATAAGGGAATTCAAATCTATGCGTAAGGTGTTACTTACAAGTCAAAAGACACACCCAACGCTTGCGCGTGAAGCCGGGCCTAGCAAGTTGCCTTCCCCACTATGTCCCTCCTTTGTATGACGGAAGGAGTGGGTGGGGATTCACTAACGAGGTCATAATGCTAGATGCGGCTCCACACATACGACGAGCGTGAACTGATTTAAACTACGGTCCCAGAGAAAAGTTGCTGTCACGCATGGAAAATCAGCAGGGATGATGAGAAACCATGCTCCGACAAGCCAAACCTGATCAAACGGAACATCTGCCTGACATTTCTAGAGGAGCTACAATCCAATATTTGCTACGAATGTATTTCATAGAGTAAATGGTTAAATAGCAAAATGTTAAACAAAGGCGAGATCACTCAGGACAAATCCCCATACTGGAACTCTTCTCGGAGTCGTATAAACACCTTAATGCGAATCCAACCTTAATAGTGTGACTCGTACCTTAATACTGTGACTAGTGCTGGTGTTCAGATTGCTGAATTTATTAATCCCGATAATTCCTGCCTTAATTGGCCTACCCCAACCAGGGTGTACCATTATGCTGGAAAAAACTTTTGTAACATGAGACTCCCTGCCAAGATTTCCTCCTCTGGTACGACCCCCCATCCTACCCGTTATACTATTTCACCGAATCCTAGCGAATTTTCCCCATACGTTCCCCAGGGGTGGAAGGAGATCAACTACAATCCTGTTAGTTAAAATCTTCTTTTTTGAAGCGGCTCTTTTTGCAACCTTTGCACAAATAGCCCTTCTCACACTATACTATTGGGTTGGCACATAAGTACTTTCGTTTTTTTTCAACCGGAAATTTCGTTCCAAAGATGAAATGTTTTGCTAGCAAGCTTGATATCATCTGATAGGAAACTTCACGTAGTTTTAGAATATCAAAACGGCTTCGGTTGAGGGAATAATTTTTGTGGATTTTTTAGTCGTTGAAGTTGAAAGCGAAGTCGGCGAAAATTAGCACCTTCGACAACTGCCTCTATTTACGTATAGTCGAAGTGCTAAAATCGCTTAAGCTGCTCCATACATTTGGAAAAGGTCGAGCTAGAAGTTCCAGCAAGGGAATCTCACTAGGACGCTTTGGAACGAATTTCAAGAATTTTGAAGTTACCAACCTTCACCTCGCCGATATTGGGCAGCTCACGTCTGTTCCACCTGAAATTTTATGCTAATATTTGAATGTTTCGCTGATATGTTTTGCATGTTCTGATAGCAAATTTCGTGCTCTATAACACTGCTATAGAAATCTGTTCTCCAGAGGTGTTTGCTTTCTGTTAAGTTCAGGTTATCATTACGGAACGCGAAGTCGTTGAGAACTAGCGTTCCCGTTCTCCACGAATTTTATGCTAACATTTGAATGTTTCGCTAATGTGTTCTATATGTTCTGATAGCCAATTTCGTGCTCTATAACACTGCGTTGCAGTTATTTTGAAAATCCGTTTGATGAACCTTGTTTTCAGGTGGATAATATGGAATGTCAGGTCGATAAGCATCAGCACTTCAGACATCTCCTCCTTTTCGCATTCAACAGAGGTATCAGAGCTGCTGATGCTGCTCGGGAAATTCGCGAAGTGTACGGAGAAGATGCCCTCTCTCTCAAAACAGCCCAAAATTGGTTCAGACGCTTCAAGAATGGTACTGATACCTCTGTTGAATGCGAAAAGGAGGAGATGTCTGAAGTGCTGATGCTTATCGACCTGACATTCCATATTATCCACCTGAAAAACAAGGTTCATCAAACGGATTTTCAAAATAACTGCAACGCAGTGTTATAGAGCACGAAATTGGCTATCAGAACATATAGAACACATTAGCGAAACATTCAAATGTTAGCATAAAATTCGTGGAGAACGGGAACGCTAGTTCTCAACGACTTCGCGTTCCGTAATGATAACCTGAACTTAACAGAAAGCAAACACCTCTGGAGAACAGATTTCTATAGCAGTGTTATAGAGCACGAAATTTGCTATCAGAACATGCAAAACATATCAGCGAAACATTCAAATATTAGCATAAAATTTCAGGTGGAACAGACGTGAGCTGCCCAATATCGGCGAGGTGAAGGTTGGTAACTTCAAAATTCTTGAAATTCGTTCCAAAGCGTCCTAGTGAGATTCCCTTGCTGGAACTTCTAGCTCGACCTTTTCCAAATGTATGGAGCAGCTTAAGCGATTTTAGCACTTCGACTATACGTAAATAGAGGCAGTTGTCGAAGGTGCTAATTTTCGCCGACTTCGCTTTCAACTTTCAACGACTAAAAAATCCACAAAAATTATTCCCTCAACCGAAGCCGTTTTGATATTCTAAAACTACGTGAAGTTTCCTATCAGATGATATCAAGCTTGCTAGCAAAACATTTCATCTTTGGAACGAAATTTCCGGTTGAAAAAAACGAAAGTACTTATGTGCCAACCCAATATATTACATCTCATTACATGCCCCGCCGCCAGATAACTTTGCCCCTTTTTGTCGCGACACATTCTAAATGTATGTCGGACAAATTTTACACTATATATAGATGTTGTAATAGTTTTTCACCGTTTTTATCTCTGTTGACAGATAGACCCTTGGCAACATTATAACTATATAGTAAACTTGACTCCGCCCCCGACGACTCCGCCCACTTTTTAATGGATTGCTGATTGATTGCCAGAAATATCAGTTCAGCAGCACTGCCAATGTGCATAAGAAACGGGGAAAATCTACAACAAGAAATTTTTTCACGATAAAAAAAAGATAAACACGATCCCCGTTGTGTAAAACACCTGATGGTGAGCCCTGATCCCAACCTTTATCGAGCACGGCCTTTCAACCAGCGCCGCTCGTAATGAGGCTTCACGCTACTGCTTGCGTAGTCAATTAATAAAAACTGTCGCATATGGTTTTTGAAGGTTTTTTGAGTTAGCATGTATACTATCGAACCTGACCAATTGACCTCCGAATGTAGAACGCCCCACATCTTCTCAGAACTTCGCTCATGAACCAAGAGTGTGTAAAATCCATACCGGCAGCGATCGCTGGGAGTGGGATCTCCTGAAGATGAAACCTTCCAGAGTCGCTTTTATGCTCTTACTAAAAAATGCGCACATATTCAAAGCAAAAGAGTGAAAGGAGAAGAAAGTCGAGGTAGGTCCTGTGCGTCGGCATAAACACCACCGAGTCAGTCTTACACAGTTCTCGAATTTTGATCAGTTGATCCTCATTCACGTAAATGGAATCGAAAATTCGCTGAAATAAAAAGAGTCACGTCCAGATGCTTGTCGAACAGCTCAATTACTTACCTCGAACACCTTCGTCACGGCATAGCCAAACGTTCGAATGCTATTGAGACCCCAGTTGTGTGACATTGTCGTCATAATGGCTTTGGCATCACTTTGGACCTTGGCAATTGGTTCACCAGTTCGCGCCACCTCATCTGCTATGGCTTCCTGCAAATTGACATGGAAGGGACCCCACAAAATCGGGATGGGGTGTGATGGAAAGTGACCTGTTTATTACGCGCGTAGTCAGAGGGTCAAACCTCAAATCGGCTCTCGCCCGATTCAGTCGCACTTTCTACCCCTGAGAGCCGTGGACTGGAACCAGATTCGACTTGGAGTAGAAAAGCACTACTCTGTACATCGGCGAGCCCTCGCACTTCATCGCATCGCATAGGCCATTCTATAAGCCACTACGATTTTTAAAGGGAAAAGGGCGCACGTCGCCTGGAAGGTGAATGAGGGAGACTTCGCTTCTATCTTTGTCCTTTTACCACAAAGTCTGTCTCAGCAGAGGATCTGACTTGCATTTGATTGCAAGGATGTTGGCTGAGAAGTTTTTCTGGGAGGTTCCACGTGAGGCTGTTGCCATTCAAAATTAGTGGTATGACCCCTGGTATACGTCCGCCCTACTCTGAAGGCTCACGCACGTTCCCTCAAAGGCAGCGCCCGCGTTCAAATTTGATGAGAATGCTGCTCAGGTAGTAATAGCAAGGTAGCAAGAAACCTATTAGTGAAGAAAAATAAAAAGAAACTATAACAAATAATTCCTTATAAAGAGTTTCACGGAGAATAGCGGTTGTGTGCTTAAGCGCGAGAGGAGGAGTTTAGCGAGGGTATCTCCACTTGTTGATATCAGCTGTTTTCCCTTATCACCTCACTCTCACCACTCGACGTGGAGAGAAGCAGCAATGGAACAACCGCACCATCAGGCAACCATTAGAAATGAAGTTGGGCGTCGTGGTCGCCAGGTGGGCGGGGCGGTCGACTCTTTACTAGCGATAGGCGCTATCCTCTCGCCTTTGTGAGATGCAAAACTAGTACATACTGCATCCTTATGGGGAGGGCTATGATATCCAGAAAGGGCGTAGGAACATCAAGTGAACGTGGGCGCTGCCTTTAAAGGCTGAGACATTTCCCGCATTCGTCGGGTGGGCGGAGACTCGTACCCATCGTGCCCTCCTCACTGGTGCGTCCTCCACTCCACCGTCACACGGAAAAGGTGCACCGTTAAGGACCACTTGATGGTTGATTGGTCCCATCCAGTTATCGCGGAATGTGTCATTAGGCCAGGTCAAAATATTCCCTTTCGACGGTTAGGGAAGTTCGTGAACTCAAAGGAGCCCTGCAGATAGATACCAGCACCAGGCTTTTTATAAACCCAGTAATTCCATTTCGATCAGAGTATTCGTTGAAGATGTTTCACCATAAAAGAATTGCTGTTCATGAAGCTCAGAATTACCCATCATTCAAAACCCGCTTAAACCATAGGGCCGTGGAAATGTGAGCCAATCATAAAAAATGTAGAGCTTGCAATATTGCTGATATGTAGTAGGTTGGCCCATAAGTGATGGCGTTTTCTTCTCACACAAGTTTTTATATGGAAAATGACAATTGTTCCCAATATTCCACACTGTTTGATAGATAATTTTCCACTCTATAAGATCGTATGGTTGCCTTCATACTTTTCTTGGTTTCCGTCGATTTTTATTTCTTTGAAATGGAGTGTTCGGTCGTCACAAAAGTGAGTTTTTCGACAACAACTTTTTACACTTTTTCTCGGCTCCCGAACTACAGAAGAAGCTCGTAACTAGTGATTTATTCGATCAAAGAGAGATGCGTGTATGACAAGCTTGAAGTTGGTTCAAGCGATTGAGAGCGCACGAGGCGCCCCCTAGCGGTGAGGTGGGGGGGCGAGTGCCTGCAAAACCCATCCACCAACTTTCGAACGTCTAACATCAACTGAGGAAGGTAGATGATAACGGAAAGGATGCATTCTATGACCTCTAACAATCCCTCAATCTTTGATTCTCAGTTAATAAGGTACTTCCGTAAGCTCTCAGTTGGATACACTAGGGCGTTTAAGGCTCGTTGCTTGTTCATGAAGTAAAACTGGAAACTTCTAAATCACTTAAAGACAAGCCGCCCGCGATGGACTTTGGCAGGTCTCAGGGGTCAAATTTGTTAGAACAGGTGGCCAATTAAGCACTAATCAAAAAAAGTAGGAAAAAGGTGTGGAAGAGCGTGAAATAAGACCCTACGAAATTTAAGGCATGTGGACGAGTTTCGCAGACCTTTGGTGAGTTCTCCAATACACGTCGCGGCCTCGGAACTCCAGAAACTTAGCGTTTATCAATGCCAGCAAGCACTGATAACTGTTAACCAGTCGGGGCGGGATTAACAGGAAAGGAGGCGTCAGCTCAGCCTTGTTGAACTCGCCCTCTCAACCAATCGATTTCGAGCCGCAAGAGTGGGATTTCCGCTGTGGTTGCGTACTCCGCGTTCGTTTTCATTGGAGGGTTTTTCACTTTGGTTGATCGCGGACGCTGCCTTTAAACTGCTACTAAGGCATTCCTAAAGAGACATAACCCTCGGCCATATACTTAGCAACTAGACATGTGCGGTTTGAACTTTTTAATTAGAGGTAAAAGGGTGGCTGTTAAAAATGCTCAATTTCGTCGACCTGACACTCCAGTTTGAGCACTTAAATATCAGTGGAAAGAGAAACTTCAAGAAAACTAAGAAGACTATCGTATAGGTCTAGGATTTCTCTGCGCAACAGTATAAAACTCAATGACAAATATTTTCATCTCTAGTGCGATCTTTCAAGTGAGAAAAAACGCCATTATTTATGGGCCGATCCAATACTAGATGTCACTCCACCATCTCACCAAGCCTACGATTATATGTCTTGTGCAACATTTGACTCACTGTAACTCTAGGCGAATTTAGCACACTGTCCATTATTTCTTCGTATGTCCTTTCTCTGGGATGGTTGGAGTTGATAGTACATCGAGGAAACTCCCGTTTTTGTGACACAAACTTGAGACTACCCTTCTTTCGAAGCTTTGCCAACCAGTCCACATACTTCGTGGGAGTGGCCCGCCGTCCGACCATCTGTAAAGTGAGCGTACAGAAGAGCTTTACCTGGTTGTGTCAGTCAGAACGCTAGAAAACAAGCAGTGTTTAACTGAGGTACATAGGAGCACGAGACTTATGATGTGACTCTGCAGAAACCATCTCGCTCGCTATGTGCTTCTAGTGGGGCAACTCTTCAGTAAAACCGTCACGTCACGTCATCTTAGGCGTATCTACATCCTCACCCAGACAGAATTACATGCAATGACCTGCGTTAACCTTGAAACTTTTTATATTAGAAGTACAGTTCTAGACATTGGACTGACGGAGTACATCTTCATTACTCTGTCAGCCGGATTACAATGGGCTTGTCGCGCCCTAGCAAAGCCTCGCTGAGGAGTGACTCCACCCGAAGCACATGGCGCCGAAGACAGAAAAAAAAACAAGAACATGTGCAACCTTACCATACAATAACGTAGCATTATAATGAGATTGCAAAATTCTTAAGACCTTCAGAGGCCAGCTAGAGAACACCAGGGAAAGTTGTGGACTAATTGCGAAGTTAGTTGCTTATGCATCTAGTGCCATGCGATTAATGAGTAAGTAGAAAGAAATGGTATTACCTTCAAGCCGTGTTAGGTCTTACAATGCAGCAGTACCTAAAAGATCTCCACATGCACGGTGCACGTTTGCCGTTAGGGTTGAGGTGACCTCTGTTCTCATCCTTTTCACGACAACAAAAAGGAGAGTCAACGAGGAGTGTATATCCTATTTTCTGCGGTGTAGGGCGCACCGTAGCTTCGAACGACAACAACCACCCTCACACCCTCAACTCGACAACCAAATCAAAATGAAAATATCGAAGTCTTCAAAAGGCAGTCCGATTCTCCAATCAAAGTTGGCGCGTCATGGCTGCTGAATAGAATTGGATGCTTTATCGTTTTATCCCAGCCTCTGCACCACGCATGGCGACCAGACTTCAAACGTGCTACTGGCGTCGCCGCGATGGGAACCTAGCGTCGCCGCGATGGGTAAAATGAACCACCTCTTCATGTGGTCTACCATGTCCCAAATGTGAACGTTCTCTGGCCCATCCCATTTCAACCGATATCACAATGTAACGTAACCGTAACCTGACTCAATACCAAACTGGATTTTTATTTTCATCTGTATACTCCCTCCAAATCGAAAATGGATGGAAGTGACAAGCATTCAAATATTTTGAGTAACCTGACGCGCTCCGAGAGCAAGAGCAGATTTATTGAACAAGCAGTGGAATGCGCTCTGCACTGTACATTTGTATCTAGGCTCATCCGAATTCACACCTGACACATTCAGCGTAACTACTAAATATTGCATGACACTTCCCGCAACAACTTGAAATTAGCTAGCGGTTGCTGGTTAA